CCCCAAAACCCCAAAACCCCAAAACCCCATCCTTCAAAAAATATTGCAATAGGATATATTGATAAATAATAAAATGGAATCATTATTGAATCATGAGACTTTGATGTCTTAGGGAGCTGAAGGAGTAAGATTAAACTGAGTTAAATATCTTTCAAGAGACTGTTTCTTAGCAGTTTATTTGGAATGAAGTGTGTTATCAAAGAGAGATTTCAAAAGAAATATAGAGTACCACTTCTAGATGAAAAGCTATCAAAATAGAGAATTCTATAGGTAAATTATTTTTCTCATACATAGTGCCTTTATTAAATCTCATTTAGGAATGCAAAAATATGAACAGAGCAAGGAAATTTGGAGTTCCAACGCCTACTTTATACCTAATAGATGATGTACAGCGCAGAATATATATGGAATATTTGGGTTAGCAGGCAATGACAGTAAAGGAATTCCTTTACCAATTAAAATCTTTTGATCATCCAAGTAATTGATTATCAACCAATACTGATGCATTTTAGTTCTTGAGGAGCTTATTGAAAAAATTGGTGGATATTTAGCAATCTTGCACTCAAATGATTAGATTCATGGGGATCTTACCACTTCTAATATGATGATCAAGCCTAAGTAAGCATCATTTAAAGAGTTTATAAATACTTCTAGGCTTAGTTTCTAGCAAGAGATATCGTAAATTGCCGGTCCAATGACTGCCTAATAGATAGTAGAAGCTGGCACTATAGGTGATGTTGTAAGCATAGAGTTTAACAAATTTGATAGTATATAATTGATTTTGGATTGAGCTTTGTATCAGGCAAGATTGAAGATAAAGCAGTTGATATTTATGTGCTTAAGAAAGCTTTCATCAGCACTCATCCAGGCTCAGAAGCATTAGTAAATTTCACAAATTTTAATATTTATTTATAGTTTGATAAAATCCTTTTGAAATATAAGGAAAAGGGGTAAAAGTCCCTATAAATCCTTGCGAAGTACAACGATGTTGAGAAAAGAGGAAGAAAGAGAGAGTGTTTTGGATGAATTCTATAGTTAAGTATTTAAATTAATTAGCTATAATTAAAAGGTTATAATTCAATTGTTAAAGTTGATAGTTAATTTCAAAATATCTGGCAAGTAGACTTGGGGATCTCATTGTTTCCTATGATCTTTGGGTTTTCCTTCTAGTACTGACTCCATAATTTCTTGGCATGCTTTTCCATTTGCACCTGATAGTAATTCTTTGATATCTCATTCTTTCTAATCTCTGGAAGACTCGGATCTTTAATTAAAATACCAGCAGTCCAGTTCTCTTCAATATTGTTACTTTCAATAACTGCCTTTGTGTCACTAGCAGTCAATATACCACTTCTTTGATTTTCTTTTATCCTATTTCCTCTGATGATTCCAAGTGACTATACTAGTACAATTCCATCATGATTTGATATGACATCATTTTCCTCAATCAGCAATTTCTCCTCGCCTTCAACTACAAATATACCTTCTGACTTAGAATTCTCTACTACGTTATACTTAATTTTAGTTTGTCCTGACCCTCTACCCCCAAGAGCAATATTAGCTTTGATATTTTTCTCTAACTTATTCGTGTATATCATGGCACTAGATCCTTCTACAATTAATATACCTTGATTGTAGTTGGAACTGATGATATTGGAGTTAGGGAAACTTTTTAAGTTTATACTTGGGACGTATGGATTAAACTCTTTTGTAACTGTCCCAATGAACTTTTTATTAATAGATTTCATAGTTCCTGTTACAGTTTCACCTGGTCCCCCTAGTGTGCCATCTCTATTCATAGTCACATTTATCGCACCTGTTGCAACTAGATTAGGTGAGTTGTAGTTAGGAAGGATCTTTATTTCATCTTTTGTAGTGCCTCCGATATGAGCAATTGCATCATCTGTTAACTTGATTCCTGACTTTCTATTGGACTCAATTATATTCCCCCTAATATCAGGTTCACAGTATTTCCCCATACAGAGTATACCATGATGGCCACAAGAAAAGACTCTATTCTTCCAGACTGAAGGCATTGATCTAGTGTTATTGTCATCTCCAACTACTTTAATACCATTTTCATGAGACTTCTCTATGATGTTTTCAATAAGCTTCGATTTGTTATTTAAAATCTCAATTCCAATATCATTAATAGTCATTTCATTTCCAAGAATCTAAATTAAAAGGTTTGAATGAATGATAGATATTTACCCAACCATCAACATCTAAATATGTTATAATTGCCGATGATCTGCAATACCTTATTTTATTTCTAAAGGAATTTTTTAAAAACGTTGATTCTTACCCTTTAATGGTTGGTCTTGATGCTTTTCCTTAAATATAAATTCCAGCAGTCTCGCTTGATACAATTTAATTTTCAATAATAAAAACTTTGTTCTATGGATTCAGATCGCACATTATTGAGCCACTTTTATGATGAGCGAATTAGCATTGATAAATACTTGCATCAGACTTTAATAATAAAACACCTGTTGTGTAAGCATCATTAGTTGTATCACCTTTAAAACTGCAGTTTTTCAGATCTAGTGTATTTTTGGGGAGGACTGCAATTGATGGTACTTTTCTATGGATTTCCTTATATATGCCACTAAATAACTTATATAAAAAAATTATTACTCTAAAGATAGGACACAGTCACGCATTTTTAAAGTACCAGATTTCAACATAATTATACAATACATATTATCATTTGGGAGAAATTCTTAGATACATTTCAAATTTCCAGTTTTCTCATAATCCATATCAACTTAGAAACTAAAATAATGAGCCCCAAAAACACTTACCAAGAAATGTCTTCATCCTTATTGGGCCCTTTCAAAAGCATTCTCATTCCATTAATGGTGCAAGTCTCGTCAGGAGCAATATTTATGAAAAAGCAAGGCTTAATTTATTGCTATAAAGTTATCTCTCCAGGTTTTTCTCCAAGTTCAATGATAATTCCTGGTTTGCTAAAATGTTCATGATTTTATCATATCTGATGCTTACTCTATGTAGATACTTTCCTCATAGAGACTTGGCTAAACTCTAATGATTGAACCTGGTTCTGCTTCATCTACTGCTTTTTAAATAGATTTAAAAGTATTTGGTTTAGCAGTGCCTGCTTTAACTGCCTCCTTATCAACTATGTAGATTCTCTAGGAAATAAGTTTATAAAGTTAAACAAATCTTATATTCTTACTCTTTGAGTAGGTTAGTCTGTGGCTGTTCTGCCAAACTATTCTTCCATTATATTTCTATAGATTTAATTAAAAAACTTACTTCATTCTCAAATTTTCTAAATTTCTAGCTAATGGGGTTTTGGGGTTTTGGGGTTTTGGGGTTTTGGGG